GGACGGGGCTGCGGCGGCGACAGGGAGCGAGGGGCGCGTCTGCGCGTGGGGAGACCTCTCTGTGGCCCGTAACCTGGACCACGTTACATGAGGGTGGAGGCTAGTTCCGTGGCTCGAAAATAAAGGGATTGGTGCCGAGCCTTCACACCTGGATGTGTACACGTGAAACGTGATGTTTTAAAACAAAATTAGTTGCCTTAACTATGTAAATTGGGTGTTTTTATGGTTTTCCGGGAATGCTGTTAATAAGTCCAACTGTACTATCACCAAGACAAAGATTCTAAGTAGGTGCATGTACTCTTGCAGTTCTGTACTCTTGCAGGTCTGTAATTCCCTGTGGTAAAACCGACGCTGACTGGTTTTCAGCCCGTTTTCCTGGTCAATCTTAGGAGCTGTACACACGCTTGGTTGCACTGGAAACAGTAACAATGGAGCAGATTGTGACTTCCAACCTATAGAACCCCTAAGGGCCTGGCCTGATCGGGAAGAGGTCGCCTTTCCCTCTCATTCCTAACGCCACTGTTGGCGAATTCACTAGGAACTTTTAGATTAGGAAATTAATAACGTTTCCCACCCCGTTTCTCCTCCCATTCTTAAGAAATACATCTTCTCCGTGTATTCAGTGTTAGGACCTGGTTTGTGACACAGTTGTGGATCATAATCTGCGTCCAAGTGTTTCCTCTGTTCATACCTGCATCCTTTTGCACATTTTTAAGACAGGTAATTAAATGGAAAATTTTCAAAGAATTTAGTGACCCACTCAAGTATCTATCTCTGTATGTCTTTCTGTATTCACCAATCGGCCCAAGTCTATACCTGTTTTTGCTTTTGTACACAAAACTTCATTAACTTAAGAGTCAAATATTTGGTAAATTCTGAAGGCAGGAGTCCCTGTAGCCAAGAGGGATATGGCTTCAGATTCAAGGTCACTAATGGCTATGAAAAATATTTTCAACCAATTGCATCTATTCCCTGCCTATATACCTCTATCACTATTTAATCTTGATTTCCTGCCCAATTACCGTATGAACAATCAAAATGTAATTACAGTAAAACCTTAAAAAAAAGACTAAATCAGTTGTTCGTTATATAGCAAAGTAGGTTTTCCAAATGCATGTTAAAAATTTGGCAAATTAGTTACTTCACCTGTTTTTACTTATGTAGACACGTTTGTGTAATTAAAATTAAGTATGTATGAAAAGCTTACTTTCACAGAGAAGTTTCTATATATATTATTGTATTTTTAAATTTGTACTGAATAGGTCTAGTAACTGAGTGCATTCACCCGTTGCCTCCAGTAAACAAATGCATATGGCCAGGGGCATGGCCTAGGACACTAGTTAAAGCTGCTACAGAAAGTTACGCCAGGAGACAACAGAACCAAAAACTTCACACAATTCGGTGTGATCACGTGCTAATCATTCACCCAACATGGGATAGGAGTAGTGACTTAAATATGTAGACTATAGTTGTAGGTATGTAATATTTATTTTTGTTGGCAAAAGTACTACAATGTTTTTTCCAACATATGACTTATTCGATAAAATTTGTTTGAAATAATAGTGAATTAATAACAAAAAAATAGCCTGTTAATTTAATTATAAGCAAATCTCGGTTAAAACCATTTTAAAATTAAACAAACAAACAAAAACGTTGACATGGTGACAGATGATTACTAGATTAGTGGGGTGATCACATTGTAAGGTATAAAAATGTCTAGTCACCATTTTGTACACCTGAAACTAATATAACCAATATAAGATTGTATACCAACTATATATACTTAAATTTTTAAAAAATTCAGTTAGTCCTCCTGGCGAATCTCTGAGTGAAGGGAGGGGAGGAAGAAATTAATCAAAGAACTTACATGCATAACCCATGGGCACAGACAATAGTGTCGTGAAGGCCTGGGGGGGGGGCGGGTACAGGGTGCAGGCGGTCAGTTGGGGGGACGAAGAGGGACATCTGTAATACTTTCAACAATAAAGATAAATTTTTTTGAAAATTCAGTTAGTCCTCAAATCTGCCTCACTTTAACTTTCCTCTAGGCCTTCTCAGGTTTCTCATACATGCCCATAACTAACAGAGTTTTCTAAACATAATCTGTGATGGATTTGTCCTATGTTTCTTGAGTGTATATGCTTGAATTTTCACCCTTTAATATGAGAGAAAATAAAATCTATTAAAAAATAGCATTATATGCTAATAGTAGTAGTCGTCATTTATCCAGATAAACACTTTTTCTGGTTGTGTATTTTTATGATGATTAGTGAGAGTACATGAATTATATCTTCATTGAGATAATCTGTGGATAAGAAAGACTGAACATTAGTGAAGTAAAAACAATAGATGCTCATTTGAAATGAGAAATTTTTTAAGTAGTCAAATCTTTACTTGACATTTTATTAATACCGATACCTGGATAGAGTGGTTTTTCAAATTGTGCATTTTTTTGAATTAACTAAGGGGCAGTATAGTGATTAAAATTGTGATCTTTGAAATGTGACTGCCTAAGTTCTAATTTCATTGTAACTTCACTGTGTCTCAGTTTTCTCATCTGTATAATTGGATGAAAATAACACCTACTTCATGAAATGTTTGTGTAGATTATATATAATTTGCATAGAAAGTATTATCAAATTCTGTTAGCATTACTATGAGAGTGTAGTAATAAGATTCTACTGACTAAAGTGGTTTTTTTGGGGGGGATGGGATTTTTAAGACTAATTAGAATTTTTATATTTTCAATTCTTGGACTGCCTTATGTAATTATGCTGGCCTTATTTAACATGTAATCTAATCACCACAAAATTCACAAATGGGTGATGCAAGACAGAAAAATTAAACCCAGTATTTCCATAGAAATCACTATGGATACAAAAGCATTCATGAAGAATTAGAGAAATCTACCTTCTTTTAAGAGTTTTAGTTTTATTTACTGTGGGAGCTAAGAGTTTAAGGATTTGTTCCTTCATACACATAAAAGCTAAGCACAATAAATAATTCTCTAAAAAGATTTTATTGTTTTTAATGGCTGCTTTGCTTAACAGCCCACATTTTCTCTTTATTTTCTCCACCAGATGGAAGTACAGCACCTTGTACCAAGTCTTGATCTCAGTTCTAGTCTCTACCGTATTCAAATCAGTTAGGAGGGAAAAGATAAACATCATATTCAAGAGTATGAAATATTTCCTCAGCTGGATTATATAGCATCACATTTTAATTGTTTACCAGAGTACAATGAAAACAATTAATTGGATAAGGTTCCTTTCCACAAATTCTTTTAATTCCACTGAAGTCAACACAGACCCATTATGAGAAATAGCATATGAAACTTTTTGGTAGCTGGAAGAACTTCATAGGACTGAACTCAAGTAACAAAATACCGTCCAAATATTTTTAAGTGTATTAAAAATTAATCAACGGAACTAAACCTTTGGTATCCTTAGCAAATTGGTTTTATATAATAATCTGTGAGAACACCATCCTTGATAACTTGGTTAAGCTGAGTCATCTTATTTTCCAGGTGCAACATTGTACTCCAGTTAATCAATACAGTACTTTAAGTTGCTGCTACAATAATGGAAAAGTATGAAAAATTAGCTAAGATTGGAGAAGGGTCTTATGGGGTTGTATTCAAATGCAGAAACAAAACGTCTGGACAAGTGGTAGCTATTAAGAAATTTGTGGAATCTGAAGAGGATCCTGTTATTAAGAAAATAGCACTAAGAGAAATACGTATGTTGAAGGTGAGTTAACTTTATGTGTCTATAATATGATATTGGGTGAAATATGTGTGTGCCACAATTGCAAAGAATTTCAAAGTGATTCCCCCCCCCCCCATTGGACTTAAATTCCTTTGTATCAGTAACTTTGGGAAGTAAATTGAGCACCACTTTGGACTTTGGCCACTCTGCTATTTAGCTGATATTGTGAGTACAGCTGTGGATTGTTAAAATACTGAAGTACAGTGGGGCCTTGACTTACGAGTTTCCCAACTAACGAGTTTTTCGAGATACGAGCTGTCTCTCGGCCGATTTTTTGCTTTGAGTTGCGAGCTAAAATTCGGGTTACGAGCCAGCTTCAGATACCCCACCGCTAGTTGGCGCAGCGAACGTCACAGTGAACGCCACAGCATCAGCCCAGCATCACGTGTCTCACTCGTTCACTTTTAAGATTTGACATACGAGTAATTTGAGTTACGAGCTCCATCACGGAATGAATTAAACTCGTAAGTCAAGGCCCCACTGTAATCCCTTCTGGTTGGTAACTCACTGCCCTCAGTCCTCTCAGTCCTCCCAGCCGTGGCCTTCGTCTGCCACCACCTCTCCCCCATCCTTCCCCCCTTAAACCAGCAGGTAAAAGAGCATCTGCTGGCACAGAGGGGCCACAGGGCTGTGCCAGTGGGCCTGTGGGCATGGCCATGGATGGTCCTGCTCCCTGGGTCTCAGACATACTGACTGTCACCCCAGCTGTGTGTCCACATTGTGCACAAAGGTTTTGTTCTAGTTGTTTCTTCTCTGATAGGCTTTGACATGTAGGATTCCTAAGTTCTCAGCATAAACAGTTTCCTATCATAAAAATCTTAGTTTGAGAACATAAGAGACCTTGGAGTTGCCTCTCATCCGCACCCTCATTTTATCAGAGAGGAAACTGCGTCATAGGGCAGCGCTTCTCACACAGGAATGTGCATGGGAACCCCCAGGGGGGACCTTGTTGAAACGCAGGTTCCGAGTGGGGAGGTGTGGGGTGAGCCTGAGATCCTGCATTTCCAACCAATGCCCCAATGGCACAGACCCTGCTGGTTCACGGACCACACTTCAACAAAACTTGTGATTTCAAGAACACACAGCCAACTTTTACTTGTGACAGGTCGTCTGTTTTTAGGAAATCCCCAGAAATCCAGTTTTTAAAGGGAGATAATAGTTCATTATCCATCCTTTTCGAATATTATCTGTAGCAGGTTTCCTCAGCTAATGAATTCCAGTGTTTCATTTAAAACATAAGTAGATATACCCGGATTTTTCAAGAGCACATCCATCCATCATGGTAAAAAAGCAGTTCACTATTACCTTGTAGCCAGCAGCCAGCAGCCAGCTCTGGCCCGGAGCTCAGTCACAGGGTGTTTCTGAACAGGTGGTTTTCTAACAAAACACCGCCACCCCCAATGCCTTCAAAGAAAGTTAGTGCTCAGGTAGTACCTCCTGGTTCCCCAATTGGAGAATGAACTTTAAGGTTAAAATGTAGCCAGATTCCAGCTCAGCTTGGTCTCTGGTGGTGATGACTCTCAGTGGGCACGCTTTTCCTGCTTTGGGCAGTTGCCCCCATGTACACCCTGACCAGTGTCCTTCCAAGACAGATCTACCTCACCTTCCTCGTGGACTCCCGTTACTTAAATGTGATTGATTTCCCCTCCGCACCGTGTTTCTGGGCTCAACTAATTTCATTGGCAAAGGAGATGTAAGTGCTGATCTGCCCAAAGACGATTTGACCGGGTTGAACAGTGACATTGCATCAGCTATAGCATCTGGGAATTCCTTTCTCCCCTGGTAGAGATATTTTTTCCTTCCCTTTCTACAGTTCTGGCTGCAGCACAAAAA